GGTGGAATTATTTCTGTTTTTGTTGGTGTGTTGGATCCTTTGTGTTTTTTTATGTTTTCCAAGTTGTCTGCATATATATTACTTGTGAAAATTAAAAAAAAAAAAAACTAACTACATTTTGTTAAAAATCATTAGGCCCTCACAATTTCATCCACCTTGCCCATACTTATCAATGACAGTGTCTCCTGCCGGTTCCCTGCAGATCATCCTAGTCTGTAGTCTTCAGTCACCAATACTTCTCCTCCCAGCTCACTTCTCTCAGCACCTCGTGTATTCTTCCGTTTCCTGCCCTCCAGGCAAGTGCCTGCCTACTTCCCAGGTGATCTCAGTTCCATGTTAGAAATGGAACTAATAAATATTAACCTCACTCACACCATTTGCATAGCTAATAGCTTCGTACTCACTGGGTTTTAAAAGAGGCTGCCCAGTGACTGTTGCTGTATCTCTACTTGGTGATATTGAAGCGATAGTCAGATGCAGATTTTCACGCTCCCATTACACCCATGTGCAAGTAGGTCACAACCTCTTTTAGCCAAGCGGGAGGGTTTCCTGGAGCCAGGCGCCATCGCCATTAATATCAGATGGAGCAGCGGCTAATTCAGTCATGTTGATGGATGCCGAGATGGTGGCTAGACTCATCTGCAGTCGGAGTCACAGAGCCGGAGTGCGAGAAACCAATTTCCTCCGGCCTGAAGTGCTCCAGGTCACCTCTGGTTACAGAGAAAATGACATGAGTCACTGTGTCTCCTAAGCCAGCTTATTCAGGATGTTGTGCACGGCTAAGCCAAGAAATAACAATAGGTGTACGAAGAACATGCATCGTTTCACCCAATTGGGCCTGAAGATCTACTCTGATTTCTCAAAAAAAAAAAGGTTATTGAAACTGCGAAGTGTGGCAGTTACTAAAAGCACTTCAAACCCATACCCAGCAGGGGAAGAAATGCAGACAAGCTTCTGAGTTCCAGCCAGTGTGCCAGCTCAAAACAAGGCTGTGCCTGTCCCAGGGAATCCCTTCCCTGGGGACCTTTAGAATGGTTAGGAGGGTTTTATGCGGCTTCTTTCTGTGGAGTAGAGATGCGGACTTTATATACAGATATAAAATCCTAGCTTACAACATCTATGTGTTTTAGAGGGTTCACATATGAGTATGGCTCAGTCCCTGCTCGGAAGGAAGCTGTCATCTAGTTAGCAGGTGGCAATGGGATGGGTGCAAATGATGAAACAAATGGTAATAAAATAAATTGAGTCCAGTAAGAGAGTATGGTAGAACAGAGACAGGACAGCCAGGGCTGGAAATAGAGTGGATGGAGAAGGAGGGAAGCTGCGAGGCAGGGAGGAGCAGGTGACCCTGGAGTGACATCTCCAAGGACAAGGAGTGAACTAACTAGACAGTGAGGGACAAGTGAGGAGGGATGGGGGATGAAAGACCACGTGTTTCTTCTCAGGAGAGTTCCAACCCTAGATGTTTATTTTATTTTTTTATTTTTCGTTTTTATTTTTTGAGACAGAGTCTCGCTCAGTTGCCCGGGCTAGAGTGAGTGCCGTGGCATCAGCCTCGCTCACAGCGACCTCCAAATCCTGGGCTCAAGTGATCCTCCTGCCTCAGCCTCCCAGAGAGCTAAGATTACAGACATGAGCCACCGTGCCTGGCGCTAGATTTTTATATTTTCGTACCAGCTTATTTTTCTTTTGTTTCTCATTTAACTCTAAAATTAAAACTAAGTGGAAACAACATTTTGTAAGCCTTGAAAATGGGAATGGCACATCCTGAGCTGTTCATTTCACACAGTTCAGTTTCTTCAAATCTTCATTTCTCTGCTCTTCATCTTGCGGAGTCACACTTGTTCTAGAAGACAGATGAGAGAAATGAAAGGGAAAAAAGTGAAAATCAATCCTTCTTAAGTAATTGGCTTATGTTTTATAACCTACTTCCAAAGAGATTCAGAGGAAACAATTCATCTATCTGTAAACAGATCCGGTTAAAATGACTGTGAAAAAGTTAGAAACAAAAAGCTACATTTCAACTTTATTTCCTCAAGCTATCCCTTTCCTCAATTAGCCTGATAATTGGGAGATAACTACAGAGCATGCCACATCCACTCTGAAGCATATTTATGGGAAAAATGCCAGATATCTGGCTGTCTATTCTTTCTCTCTAAATAAAGGGTTTCAGATGGCCTAGATACATCTAAAATATATTTTTTTACATAGCAAACTGACTATATACATGTGTTCCTTTTAAACTAATTTTAAAAATTATAAGTGATGTATGCTTATGGGTTAAAATAAAAGGACAGAGGGAATAACAGTAGTGAGCATAGTTGATAGCTTTGTGAGTCTCCTTGCAATATGCACATAATACAACAGGATTATATTGTGGATTGTGGCATCTCCAGAAATTCTATACTGGAGAGGCTTAGGGCAGACAATCTGGTTAGATGGAAAGGATAGGGAAGAAGCTGCATTTTCATAATAGGCAGTTAGTATCCAGGCTGATGTTGATTTGACAGGGTGTGGGGGCGTGGGAGCTGGAGGAGATTATGGGTGGAATGAGAAAGGCTTCCTGGAGTCAGCCATGGCAAGCACTGCCATATATATATATATATATAAACACATATATATACATATATATATGTATATATATATATTTCCACCACTTGCTTTTTTAATTTAAAAATATGTCTTGAACATTTCACCATATCATCAATACCTATAGACCTATCACCTTCTTTTATAAAAGTTACCTAGGATCCCACTGGATTGATCGAATCTTCTACTGATGAACATTTAGAGTTTTTTCTAGTTTTCACGGAACATTTGTGTGTGTATGTGTAGGTATGTATCTTTTGCTCATAACATGAGAATTTCTGTAGAATAGACTCAAAGAAGCAAGATTTCTAGGATGAATGATATGTACGATTTAATATTTTGGCAGAAAACTGTCATTATTTAATGTGTTGTTAATATACAGTTGTTCTATGACTCAACTGCCACTGTGGTGGCAGAATACTGTCTTATGTGATTGATAAAGGGACCATATAATTTAGCAGCCAAACCAGAGCACCTCTGAGAGAGAAAGTAGATGCTATTAATCATTATACTGGGACCATGGGCATAAAATAGGACTATTCTAGGCAAACTGGAATGTTTGGTCACCCTAATAATTATTAACATGAACATTATTAATGAGAATAAGATCACTGAAAATTTAAGACAGCTCTGTAAATAACTTAAGAAATTTCCATTATTCTCCTATTATTTTTCCAAAACTTACTTTATTACTCCCATAGTATTACACTGAAAGAGTCTATGAATCTCCCAGCAATCTACTTGTTGGATCTTGTGTTCATGACAAACACAAGCACAAGAGTTAGGGGAAAGGGAAGAGAATTGGCTTCTAAATATTTTGCACTATCAAGTTTTTCACTTGAAAAGGGGCAATTCCCAAACTAGGAATCATAGTGGGATATCAAAATGTTTCATGGAATAAAGACATACTATGGAGAGTAGAAAAAAAAAGGTTTTAGAAAATAGTAATAGAACACTATCACAAAACATTTGTTTCCTATAAATCTAGCTTAGCATTCCCCAATAAGCTCAGAAGTTATATAAAAGCAATGAAAAAGAACATAACAGATTCAGTTTTCTGAGAACTGACTTGTGTTCCAACAGGCCAAATGTCAGGTAGCCCCTAGACTACTGCTCATTTATATGGTTCAACCTGGGAACATATATTCTCTTTGGCATCCTATAAAACACGGGCCCGGCCTGCTTCTTGGTTCTTGATGGACAGTCCAAGCCTTGGGATATTAGACATACGGCCTTCTGTGAGTGTGGTCTATCAAATGTGTCATTTCCCATTTTCAAGACAGCTGGGAAAAAGAACTTATTTTACTGCCAGTCAAGATCAGTCTATGGTGAAAATCTGTGTGAGTTCAAGGGACAACTGGTTGTTCCAGATGGAAAAGGAGAGCCCATCTCGTGTCCTGTCTGCGTGTGTTCCCACCTTCCGGCAGCGCCCTTTGCTGCTCATTAAGGATTACACTCTTTTTCCTGCCCGTTATCCCAGGCTCCAAAGAAAGCCCTTGACGGGTTAATAAATTGCCCACCACGCTGAATCATCTGTCTTGTGTTTCTCACTAAATGAGAGGCTTTAACAGATCAGCACTGAGGTGTTGGAAAGTGTGTTTCTAGCTAATGACAAGCTGTTAAAAATGTCTCAGCGCCTTACAATCCAGTATCTAAAGGCAATTCCGTGAGAGGGCATTTCCCAAAACATTCTTCCTTTCAGCTGTCCATTTAAAAAGTGGATGTTGTTGCCTAATTTTTTTTTAAGGACTTAGTTATAACAATGTACTGTTTAAGAGCAGCAACTGTTAACCTATTTTGAGCTTTTTTTTTTCTTCAGGAGTGACAATGAGTACAATGTATAGCACTAGCCCCACTTTCTCACCTTGACTTTGCCTTAATTAAGATATGCATTGGCAAACGTTTGAAATGCATTCGGTTTCCCTGAAATGGATGTTTTCCTTTGTCAAAGCTATCCGAAAGCTGAGATCAATCCATAGGTACTGACAAAGATAGCTAAGATGTTAAGTCAAAAACAAACAAACGAAAATTGCCAAATGTTATGTATGGCAGATCCCAGTTATGTAAAAATATGTGTAAATATGATACGTGTTAGTACATGAATAGAAGAAATTTGAAAGACTGTGCACCACATTGTTAATAGCTGCTATGTCTGGGGGTGGGAATGCCAAGGCTTTCTACTTCCTAAGACATCTGTATGGTTTGCCTTTTATACAATAAGCATCTGTTATATTTCTAATCCAAAAGGGGATGCAAAAATAAAGTTACTCTGAAGGATTGAACTGATTTCTCAGACCTACAATCAAACTAGCTGAGCTAATCAAATGCAAACATAAGCTTACTAGTGGGGAATGAACATTACATGATGTAACTGTAGCATTGTTATATACTAATAAATATTATATGTACAGGATATGCTTCTCAGAGCAGAAGTGAAGGACAAATGCCAGAGACAAAGCATTTTCTACAGGTATTTCTCATTAAAAATTGATCTGTTCAAAAAATAAATAAACTTGTTATATTTAATCTGCTTAGAGAACTTTTTCAAACTGACAGAATTATGTTGGAAGAGTATTCATTTTAGTTATATTATCTAAACTCAATTTAGGAAAATGTTCAGCTAGAACATGTTAGATGTTAATCAGTAGCATCTAATGGCAAATTTTTGATGTATCAATTAATTATCAGATCTAGTGCACTATTTTTCTGTGCTTTGTAAGTCATCCTTGTGTGGTATAGTAGAAATTACGTAGATTTTAGAGATTCAATCTAGATTCAAATCTCTCCTCTCCCACTATATTTACTATTTGGTTTTGGATAAATTACTTAACCCCCTTGAGCCTTGGTTTTCTGAATTGAATGTATTTTATAACAATAGCTACTGCAAAGGGTTGTTGTAAGGCTTAAACAAAATAACCTGCAAGATGAATTTTACAAACTATAAAATGCTCCATCATATAGTAAGCAATGAATATTGTGTGAATAAATGAATGAATGAGAGAATATTACTCTAGACTTTGTTTAGTGTCCATACCAATATGATACAGAGACGGAGATAGAGGTAAGGGGGTGGGAGAGAGAGGATCTCATTCTAGTTCTTTCAGGTGTGGAGTTTCTGAAGATTGAAAGTGACCCGTGACTTAGAAAAGGAAAAAAGTGAATGAACAATAATTGAATGAAGATCCTAGATTTGGAATAACGTTACAAAAATCCTGATACTGCCACACAAATCACACACAATACCTACCATCCTTTAAGGCCATCATGAGACCTTTGCCAATTCCCCAGGCAGTGGTATGAGCTCCCTTTATGTGCTCCACAGTTGGGCCTGGAGCTGTCAGACATAAGCAACTTTGCCTTCCATCATAAATTGCACTGCTCACAGCCCCTTCCCCAGGAATCCATGCTAGGATGTTCTTTGCACAAGGTGGGCATTTGGCTAGACTAGTTGGGGATAGGAGCCTGATCCAACATGGCCCATCTAAGGAGGGCCTGGCATGAAAATATTAGATGGGTTAATCAGATTCTCTTTCAGGGAAATTCAAACCAATGGAATCAAAAGAATTTGCCAGTTGGAGAGAGGAGCTCCCTTGCAGAGTGAGTTCTTTTAATGATAGTGTCCCGGAATGACAAGTCTGTCACCCAACTATGTTCTCGGTCCCACAGTTAGGAAAGAAGTAAATTTGTGCATGTATACCAGGATAGCTTAACTTAATTATCCAACACAGGTGGCTTGGGGAGTGCGTGAGCACTTCAGAGGTAAGTTTAAAAGCTCTGTTATTAGAAATAATGTGATCTAGCAGCTTGTATTTAGCTAACCACCCATTACTTTTTCTTTATTCTACAGTTCTTCCCACTCTTCTGTTTGTCACATGGCGTGCCTCAGCAGGGAGGTAGACACAAGTAACATCTGAGCTCAGATGCGAGTCTGATGGCCAGTTGAGAGGTAGGAACCAGAGATCTAGATTTGGAAGTTAATAACAACACTGTTGATTTAAAATCCACAGGAGTAGAGGAAGATGCTTAGAGATTGCATGGTCAGAAGAGCCTAGAACAAATCTGGGAGACATAAATGCTTAAACACTGGGCAACAAAGAAAGAGGAGGAGGAACTCATGGAGGAGCACTAAGAGAAGGGACCACTACAGAGACCTTGGTGATCTTTTCCCAAAAGATATTGGTAGGAAGGTAAAGACAGCATTCTGACTGCAGTATGTTTTTTTGTTGTTGTTGTTTTGTTTTGTTTTTGAGACAGAGTCTCACTCTGTTGCCTGGGCTAGAGTGCCATGGTATCAGACTAGCCCACAGCAACCTCAAACTGCACTGCTTCAAAGCAATCCTTCCTGCCGTCAAGCCTGCCCAACTAACTGGAACTCAGAGCAATGACACCATGCCACTAAATTTTTCTATATATTTTTGTTGCCAATTAATTCGTCTTTCCATTTTTAAAGGAATAGTGTCTCACTTTTCTCGGCTGGTTTTTTTGAACTCCTGACTTGAGAAACAATCTGCCACCTTTGGCCCCCAGAGTGCTAGATTTTACAAGGTGTGACCACGAGCCCATCCTGCAGTATGTTTTTTGAAGATGAACTTAGGAGCAAGAAATGTTTGTTTTGATAACCTTTTATGAGATTGGCAAGAGTAAAGTGTACAGACAGGCTTGGTATCCTTAAATGTTCTCTCTCCACCCATGGGCAAGGCCACCAGGCATCGCTGTTAAAATAGGCTCCTAGGTATAGCACGGGAAAATTCTTTCCTCACATGACTCTCATCAGTTTCCAAACTTTACTTCTATTTTCTTTTTTTTTTTTTTCTTTTTTTTTTTTTTTTTTTTTTTGAAAGACAGTTCTCACTTCTGTTTGCCTGGGTAGAGTGGCCATGGCCATCAGCCTAGCTCGACCAAGCAACCTCAAACTCCCTTGGGCCTCAAGGATCCCTTTCTTCCTCAGCTCCTGGATAGTTGGGACTACAGGCCATGCGCCACCATGCCGGCTATTTTCTATATAATTTTTTTTAGTTGGCCAATTAAATTTTTTCTATTTTTAATAGAGATTGAAGGTCTTTCTCTTTGGTTCAGCTGGCTTTTTGAAACTCCTGAACCTTTGATAATCTCCCACGCTTGGCCCTCCAGAGTGCTAAAGGAAGAATTAAACAAGATGTGAGCCATCGCGCCCAGCCTATTTTTCTATCTCTACTTATAGATCCTTTAATTGCCATTCATTTTTTTCCCCTTTGCCCAGTACATCTTGGACTGATACAATGTGTGGCTGTCTCTTTGGTTCTCACCCTATTTCACCTGGGCCACTGCCTTGGTTCCCTTTTTGGTCCATGCCCTGAACTGTACCCTACTCCCTTCCCACCTGAGCACCCAGATCCTGGCTCCTGGCCTCCCTGAGCCTCCCACCTTGCCCAAGTTTGGAGCAGAATCAGTTCATAAGGAGAGCTACAGGGTGCATGATGGAGAAGGATAGAATCAATGAAGGGGTTTCACTCAGAGAGAAACTGGTTAAAAGGAACAAACCAGAAGAGGATGTTAACAGTAGAAGGAGGGAGGAAAGACTGATGGGACAAACTTCTGCCAATGGAGTGGAAGAGGGTTAGGGACATAGGTGGAGGCCTTGATCAGAGGAAGGAAAACCTCACCATCTAAGGCAAGAGGGAGAGAGATGATAATGAGAATGGATGCAATTAAATCTGTAGGAGGTAAGGATTCCCTTGAATGTGAGGGCTATGGAGGTTGGGCAAGAGGTTTGAAGACTTGTGAAGGTTTAGATGGCCACTCAGAGTAAAGGTAATGAAGGATCAGGATTATTGAGTAACACTGCGAGACCAGTAGAGGCTGAAGACTCAGCGCTTGTAGCAGTAGCTGCTGCACTGGTGAGTGATGTTCTCCAGCCGTGCTTTAGCCCGTAAGGACCACCTCCTATGATCCAGGCCGCCCATCAGTCCTGTGGGCAAGGCTAACATTCCTAGGACCTGCCTTGGCTCCAGCCCAAGGGTCAGATGCACTGCCCTTAGGACACTGGAGAGTCAAAATGGAAGAACCTTAACATCGCTTCAACTCATCTGCTTGCTCTGTAAAAGGAAGTGAGTGGTCTACAGGCAACATACACGAATTTGACAGGAAGATAGTAGACAGTATGAAGGAATTGCTCTGTTACATGATCAAGGCCAGTCTCTCCACTTGCTGCACCCAGCTCTGTCCTGATGGAGCCCTGATGCAGACCCGGCCTGCTTGTGGGGCTTCCTGCTACAGCTGAAATTCTCGTGACCCCCGTGATCCAGGCTGCCTATTTTCCAGTGGAGACTGAACATGTGGCTTTCCTGGTCTCTCTGCTGCACGGAGCATGACACATTCTTGGGCAGGCCATGCTTCATGTATGGAATTGTTGTTCCAAGTGGAGAGTACCAGCTGAGCCATTCACAAGCTCCAGCAGGATTAAGATCTTGTCAGCTACTCTGCAGCAGAGCCCTGGATTGGGTCCATGACCTGCCTGGAACAGTGCTGCTAGGAGTGTCATTTCCAGCAGGCTGGCTGCCCCTCCATGATGATCTGTCTGAAAATATTCAGGGGCTGAGAGCACAGCTGCTGTTGTTCTCTGGAGTGAAGTACCCTCTGCACAAGGGTGCCTTGCTCAAGGAACCCCACCTCTACCACCGACAAATGTCATGCTCCTTCCATAGGGGAGGAAGCCACCCAGGACAGAAGGGATCCCAGGTCCTTACTTACGTGTCCATCTACCTTCCTGAGAATGTTCTGGCACCCCTGTCGTTGCACGGGGCCAAAGTTCCCTTACAGCCTAGGCCCTGTGAGTTCTTCAGCTTCACTTTGCTACTTATTACATACTGATCTGGATACCCAGCTACCTGCTCACCATAGAGTCTATCATTCCCTTATTACCTTCTTGGGATGAATGAATGCCCCAAATCTGACTCTGGTGATCAGGGCAGAGGGTCACAATGTAATCATCGCATTTTTGTTTTGTTTTGTTTTTTTGTTTTTGAGACAGAATCTTTCTCTATTGCAGAGAGTGCTGGCTGGAGTGCAGTGGTGCAATCATAGTTCACTGCAGCCTTGAACTCCTGGGCTCAAGCAATCCTCTTGCCTTAGTCTCCTGAGTAGCTAGGACTATAGGCACATGCCGCTGTACCTGGTGAATTTTTCTTATTTTTTTTGTAGAGACTGGGTCTTGCTATGTTGCCCAGGCAGGTCTCAAACTCCTGGCCTCAAGTGCCAAACCACGTGCTGGCTAACAATTGCATTTTTGACAATGTGGACCTTCTGATTCTTGCTGGTGCTGGCCTGTCATGGCTGCCAATGCATGACCTTGCCATACCTGCATCCCAGGTGGGCAGCTGCACATCTCATAACTCCTTTTATTTAATTTTAATTTTAATTTTTTTAAAGGCTGATCAAGTGAAGCAGGGGAGCATCACATAAATTCTCCAAGTATGTGAGACTCACCCAGCTTGCCTGGTCTGGACTCTGAATCAGTAGCCAACACACCAATGTTATTATGAGCAAAAAGCCAGGGAGACTTGTTGGCTTAAACGTGGTTTGGGCACACACACCACTCTGCTGCAGATATATCAAGCTCATCTCACCTGCAGACACAGATACACTTGTGTCACTTATTTAACCATTTGGGATAAAAGTTAACCCATCTTAGAATCAAATCAAATCTAGAAGTGTAACGTGGAAGAGGGGGGTTATGTAGAGGGGGAAAATCACATTTGTGCCTCCACTATACACTAAGAACATGAAGATGTAAGAAACTTTACGGAGCTTAGTTTTTCATATGCAGAAAGATCTGAGCTTCATCTGCATATTCCTGTACACACACACACACACACACGCTCACACACACACACACACACACACACACAGCATCCTAAAATGTCTGGCATACATACGCTTGTAGAGTTTAAGTCTTGTAGGACTTTATGCATCCGGATTTTCTGTACACCGATGAGTAACAGGGTATTAAAATGGGATTCTTCTAATCACAATCTCAAGGTTCCAAGTGCAAAGGACAAAAAAAAATGCCAAGCATCCAAACATTCCACAACAAAGTGCTAGAGCACCTGTGCAGAACCTGCTAGCCTAGCCGTCACTGGCCTCTGCCCTGTGAACGAATGAAGGGAAAGAAGCAGGTAGCAGGAGGAGAGGACTGACTCGGAGAGGGCAGGTGGTGTGATGTTCATCCTGCCTCATCCACGAGGGGTGGGAGCTCGGTCCCTCCTCACCTCAGGCCCAGGGGAAGAGGCTCCCAGGGAATACTCAGCTACTTTGACACATCCTCATGGCTGAGTAACTGATTTGTGGGGCCCAGTGCAAAATATAAATGTGGGACTCCTTTGTTCAGAAAGCATGAAAAAATGTACTAAATTATTTAAAAAAGAACAAAAACGGACTGTGCCACTGCTATCAGAAGCAAACCCTAATGCAGCAGGCCTTGGGGCAAAAGTCGAGGCCTGTGTCCTTCAGGAATTCAGAGATGAAAAACAAGTATGTTTTCAATTAATTGCCTACCGTGTGCCAGGCATCATGGTGGGCATTTTGCATATGTTATCCTGTTTAACCTCCCTGACAATCCTGGTTGTTTTGATAGCAGGTTTTACAAGGTGACAAAGACAGGATATGGGCTCAGGGGGTTCAGGCTCGGTGGGGGTTCTTTCTGCTGTACTTCTGTGTCTTACACGGAAGATGAGAAAGGGTAGAATCCTGGCATTTTTTTGAGCCCCTCCTGGAGCCAGCACTGTGCTTGATGGAGTTGACCCACCTGTTTGAGATTGAGCTTCTGCTTCTGGAGAATCTTTTCCTGGGCCCTTCAGATATGCCCACCATCTCCACTGTTCACCAGAGCGGTCTGACCGCCAGGCAGAGTTGCTGGAATGCTGGCAGAGAAGGGAACAGAAATGTCTCTCATCCACTCACATATTTTGTTCATTCATGTACACTATTTTGAAGCCTTCTCCTTGGTACCCCTGAATTCCCAGGGCAATTGTAAGCAATTGTACTTCTCTCTCTCTCTTTTAACCTCCTCTTTGTCTGTCTAGAGCCAGCAGAATTTAATGAAAAGATAACTGAGAGGTTATGTACATGATGAAAGGAAAATAAATTATTTCAGGATAGCATGTTTTCTAAAATGATTTCAATGTATTAAACAA